CCCCCCCCCCCCCCCCTGATGCCTCCTCTCAGCCAACACCTACTCTTCTCCGTGAATTCCGCCGGCTTTCCTCTCCGCCTGTCTCTCAATCGGTCGCCCATCTCTCTGCCTGAGCAGCACGGTTACCTGCTCTGCGGGCAATGCTACCAGCGGCGACGCGGCTAGCCTCAAGCCCCTCGTCATTTGCGGCCCATCCGGTGTGGGGAAGGTACGTGGGTGCGATGTTCGGTGAGCGGGAGAATGTGGGGGGGGGAGATCACGGGTGTTAAGACGAAGGACCTTGAAGGTACTCAACGGGGGAGGCAACAGAAGGTGGTACGGCCGGCAGGACGCATCCTGAGGCGTGTTGCTTGCAGAACCGCGGCTGCTAACGTACCATCGCTGTTGTTGTCCATGCTGCAACTGGAAAGCTGTCGAAAAATGTCCCAGGCGTTATGCATACGTGCTATACCTACAATTTGACGAGTGTCCAGACGGCCTCGGTTTTTTATTTTTGCTGTCGGGGGCCCCGCCATGTTGTACTGCAGTATGCGCTATCCTGGAGTGGAGTTATACCGCCATGGGTTTGCAATGACAGCACCAAGAGCAGCGAAAAATAAAAAAACGCGATGGAAGGACGTACTGCCACCCAAAGCCACGCTCGTTGACCAGTTTACCAGAAAAATGTGGAATGTTGGTCCTCTTCAACCTTCCGCAACTGAAACCTGAAACCCCGCATCTTCGCGGAGAGATTTTACTCAACCACCCCACCATGTTTTTGTTTTTGGTTCGGGAGTGTGTAGCAGTATAACCGTTTTGGGGTAAAGGTCGGCCTGTGACCACGGAAGGCGTCCGCGTCCATTGGACCGATACGGATTCCAGAAGGAACTGAGCAGTTACCGGAAGGACTTGCAATATGAAGACAAGAGCTGACAACAACGACAACCACAACGCTCCCCTGGCAGGGCACGCTGATCAACATGCTGCGCGAAGACTTCCCCGGTCGATTCGGTTTCTCCGTGAGCCACACCACGAGGAAGCCGAGGCCCGGAGAGGTGGACGGCACGCACTACTACTTCAGTGATAAGCAAGAAATGCAAGCGGAGATCGACGACAACAAGTTCATCGAGCACGCAAACGTGCACGCGAACTTGTACGGGACGAGGTACATATGCGTGAAATGAGAGAAGGCGTTTTGCACAAACAGGCATACATGCAATCATCACAGCATGTGGAACTTGTTGGGCTTACCTCATTACCAAAGGGGAGTCCGTGTTATTTGTGGTGGTTTGTGTTGCGAGATGGTTTCGGGATCGATGTCGTCGGGCGCTGGACTGTGTTCTGTATTCTGACTGTAGTGCGTGCGTGCGTGCGTGTGCCTGTTTTTTGTTATTGGCATCGACGCTTACCGGTTGCCCATTGAAAAGACGTTAGCCTCGGAGCGGTTTTGCAGAAAATGCATTTGAAGGCCAGGATCTGGGACCCATGAGTGTGTGTGTGTGTGTGTGTGTGTTTCTTTCAGTAGCATCGGCCGCGTATACCGGCCCATCAATGAAAAACACATCAGCTTTCTTTTCTTTTTCGTTCTTTTATCGCGAACACGGTTAGGGTAGTGTGTGTGTGTGTTTATTTGGGGGGAGGAGGGCGATCGGCCAGGTTGCAGAGAGTGGCAACGCCAGGAAGCCTTAGGAGCTACATCTATATATCGATGTATCCATCCAGCTTACGCGGTGTGCACATGGCCGGAGTGCAATGCTCCCACACTCCCTGCCATTGTATGTGAGTGCTTGCATCTCCTCCATTCTGTTTGTCGCCCCAAGTGGAGGCAGCGGCGCCAACGACAATCTCCGACACGCGCTAACACGTTCCTTTTGAACAGTGCGCTTTGGCATCCGCTTCGATAAGGGCACAAGCACGGGACGTGCAGAACCTATCCGTTGCTGCTGTTGAATGCCGTTGACTGCACACACACGGACAATTCTCCCCACTGCGGTGCCTCTCCCATCCGACCCCCTCCTATTACGATTTGTCACCACTGCTGTCCCCCGCTCCCTTCCCATTGTAACTCGTTGCGGGGNAACGTACCAAAGTTTTGTTTTTGTTTTTCACCAACCACAAAGCCCGCTCTTCTCTCCGCGTCGACGATTGCTGCACTACCTTGTAGCATCGCGGCGGTCCAGACCGTCACCGCCGCAGGAAAGATCTGCATCCTCGACATCGACGTCCAGGGCGTCAAGTCCGTCCGTGGCGCGGGCCGCGGCGTGTTGGACCCGCACTACCTCTTCATCTCGGCGCCGTCGATGGAGGTGTTGGAGGCCAGGCTTAGGGGCAGGTGTGTGCGGCTATTTCCCCCCCCGGGGATGTCGCGTGTTGTATTGTAAGGCCGGGACGACCTAGCTGGACCGTGTTTTTGGTCTCACGGCCAAACGTGCTGGTTGCAGGGACGATCGAACGATGCCACCATCTCTGTCTGGCCCTCGCTCTCCCCCGCCCTCCTTGTCGAACTTCTCAGATAGATCACCTTTGTGGCTGCCCCATATGGAAGGACTTGACTTTTTTTTTTCGCAAACGTGTTTTTGGTTAAACAACAGGTCAACTCCCCTGATAGTTTTGTATTATCTGTCAGATGTGTGTTCATCTCCCAGCTTTTTTTTTGGTGCGTGTGTCGAACTCAATGTGATGTCTTCGCAACTCAGAGGGACGGAGACGGAAGAGGCTCTGCGGCGACGATTGGCCAACGCAAAGGCGGAGATGGAGTATGGGCTGGGGGCCGACAACTTCGAGAAGGTATGCATGCTCTCACTACTTTCCTGTGTACAGTAGCAACGATCTCGGGTTTACAACACACCGATAACGGCAACACACAACACAAAAAGAGCCGGGTAGGAAGAAAAGCGGTCCGAGAAATATGAAGGAGTGATTGGCTCCGGTGTGCTTGTTGGATAGGGTTTCGCGGTAAAGATGAAACGCTATGATGCGGGTAAGGGTGGTCTCGTCTGAGGCCCGGCCCGAAGGCTGGTGATGGGTCGGCTGACGTTTCCTTACCCCCCCCCCCCCTCCCCTCGGCGCTCGTTAGGTTACAGAAAACATTTGTTAAGTCGCCTTTGGCAAAGTAGGAAGGAACGGTTGGCCATCGGCGCTCGGCCCTGTGGGAACAATGCTCCGTCCTCTCGAGGACGCATGGTCAAAACAACTGAGCCATGCAACACATAATGAGAGTACGCCCCCCTTCCCTCTGCGCTCGTGCGCTAGGTGTTGGTCAACGATGGTCTCGAGGAGGCGTACGCGGAGTTGAAGGAAACAGCCAAGGCGTGGTACCCCCAGCTCGCGTTGGACGAGAAAATCAAGGCCGGAAACCCGACCGAGGCGTGAACGACGAAGGATACCATCGGTGAAAAAAAGCGCCCGTTAAATTGCAGTAATTCGAAGTGCCTAAGAGCAAGAGGATAATGTGGCCCTTTGCGTACCGAGGGCGTGCGCGGGGGGGGGGGGGCGGGGGGAAGCGGCTCCACCCCGGACCTGGCGTGTAAAAGGTATTGGCGTGCACGGAGGGAGTATTGTGCGTCTTCTACCTCGAAACTATTTTGTGACCGCTCTTGGGGAATATTTTTGGCAATGAAACTTGTGCACGAAAGAACGATTCCTAAGATACACTTTCCTATCTGAGGGGGGGAGGGGGACTTATGTTGGCACCATCGTTCCTATCTTGTCTCGGTGCCCCCCCGCGGAAAGATGTATTCAGCGGTAGCCGGTAGGGAGGTTAGGCGTGTTTGTAGAACCAAGACGTGTGGCACATATATGAAAAGGCATGCAGGTTTTGCACTGCTTTGTCTCTTGTTTTTGCTACGGGTATGGTACAGTGGCGAGCTCGGTACGGGGCCCTCCTTGTTTTTTTGTCTGCTTGCTTACGAGAGGCCTCGGGCATTGCGTCGACATCGATACCATCGGCGATTTCTGTTGTTATTGCCCGCCGCGGCTCCGATTGGAAGGATTCGTTTCCCCTCTCGGGGGGTGTCTCGCGCTTGCTCGTCGTTGAGACGCGCGCGCGTGTGTTTGTTGTTTGCTGTTTTGTTCGGTTCCCTGTGCCCTTATCCAAAAGGTCAACGATGACCTGACCATAGCGGTAGCGTAGAACCTACGACGCGTGTCTTGCAAGGAAAGTGTCTCCAACCGGCGGCTATTAGTCCGCACAGGTATACGTAGGTTGTGTATCGTGTCCCGTTGGTGGTGGACGTTCGGTGCGCTGGTTGGTGTATACGGATATCTGTATGACGTATTTGGTGTTAAGCCTGCTGTGTGTGTGTTGTTCAGCCCATCGTTGTTGTCGAATTGTTTCCCTTTTTTTCTTTCTTTACTACACGCTAACTAAAGGAACAGAAATTAATAAATCTGGTGGTGCATTGCCCGGTCGGAAGAGGGGCTGGTCTCCTTTGATGTGGTGACAGCCGCGACAATCTCGTTTTTGGTATTTGTTGTTGCCTGCCAAGAGCTGGGGGTTTTCTCGGCGTCTGGTTGCGCTAAGCGTAACTAAGCTAAGCTACCGTACAGCGTGTGATGTTCGAAGCGTAGGTGCACGGACAGATGCGCGCAACGAATCGTGCGTGTGTATGCCATGATAATTGGGTGCAAACAACCTGGGCGTTGTCATGTCGAGACTGGCATTTTGTTTGTTTTTTTGGTGCCTTTGAAACTTCTGGTTTTGTTATCTTGTCCCTGCTGGTGCTATCGGCCCAAAAGACTTTTTTCGACAGAAATCCCGGCGGTATCGTGGATAGTTACTGGTATGTTTTTGTTCTCAAATGAGTCAAATTCCGATCCTGGGGTTAGAAATCGCACTGACTGCTATGTACGCGTGCATCGCTCCCTCTCTCGTCATGCGAACCTCCCGCCTCCGACCTTACGGTCCCTGGTCGGGTTGATAACTCGATAAGAAACGACGACACCATCCACTTTCAACCCCTGGGGTCTGGCACAGCCGAAGCACACCCCGCAGAATGGAGAAGCCACGACAGAGACTCACCAGCCTTCGCGGAACAATTGAGTCCACCAATGACCTGCATAATACTATCTAGGACTTGTTCATGGACATGACCAAATGTCGTATTTTTTCTACATTCAGCGCCCCCGCCCGTCTCCGACGAAATACGTTTCTTCGCGTACCCCCCCCCTCTTCTCCCACCAAACCCGCCCAGCGACAAGAGCAACCAGCATCAGTCAGCCGCTCACAGTGCGATATTATGCAGCTTGCTGGCGGACCGAACTCACGGTGTGTCCTTGCGCGCTCAACCATCGACAACCTACTTATGTGTTCCATCGGCCAAAGAGAAAATCATCGAGAAAATTAACGGACACCCAGAGTCAAACACGAAGAGCGATCGATCATATAATGAAGACACAAACAACGTGCCCTACACCAGCAGAGCAGTATAAAACCAAACGTGATACTTGAAAATCACGAGATTACCCTGCCTTGTCGTACACTCAACTTTCACGCACACAGACGGGCGTCACGTGTACTGTACACGTAAGTGCATGACATTATTAAACGAAACGCCGCAACATCTTGCCCGGACACACAACAAGGGCGCGTGCCTTAGGCCCCATGTGACATAAAACGAGGTACGCGCACACCCTCTCCTCACGTTACCTACATGATGGTGCTGCTGGCCGTGTTTAACCGGCGCATCTTCGTTGTGCACTTGCACCACAGCTGCATCCGCAAACCACAACACTCATCACCCACGGAAACCTGTCGAAAACCCAGGTTCATTGCCCCGCCAGCGGCGAGCAACAGAGCAGCCTTACAACAACACGGCCTGCTCCGTCGCGCCCCCTTCATGTGCCCCAAAAACAACTACGGTTGACCCACATGAATGCATAGACTAGGCGTTTGGAATCTCCTTCCCGAACATTCTGGGCACAAGACGGCCTACATCTTGCGGCAAACCAACCCGTCAATCCATGTGATGCTCCATCACTATTTACACATCCGAAAACTCCGTCGATTCGTGCTTTTAATCTCAGTCGGTCACCGTGATGCCCGACCTAATCTACATGCAGTACCAAAGCCATGGACATACAAGAAAAATGATGCCATAACAATGCGACATCAATGCGATATCAACGCGATATCAACAATGCACTCCGCGTCGATACGCACTATCTTGACTACTTTGTTCACGTGTCGCCCGCACCTGTTTGCTACCCATGCATGTCCGAAGGACTGCGTTCATGCACGCGTATTCGCGTGACGGCCTGTCGCCGCCTCCTCCTCCTTACCCCCCCCCCGCCCCCCCCCCGGGACCCTGTCAACAAACAAACCTGGAAAAAAAGGGTAGTCCCGAGCTTCAGAACATGTTGCACTCACCCCGCCCCAGACCCCTCGCGCAAGCGTCTCAGCGAACCGCAAAGCAACCACATCCCACGGGTAGCCGAGATGTAAACCGGTTATCTTGCGGGCTGTCGCTTGGCAACCCGCCACGCAATAGCCGTCAACACCACCGCCACCATCACCACTCCATGCACAGAACCCTACCACCGCTACAACAGCATGAAAGTCTCCAAACGCATACGAAACCCATCCCACGAAAAACAGCTCGACATATATAGAGCTACATACGTTCGTACATCCACAAATGAACATCTTGTGCCCGGACGGCGAGCCACAAAAACACACACGCGCGCGCGCGAAATCTCCATCGAATACATATCCCCACCTTCACGCTCAACAATCCAGTCCGCGAAAAAGATCTCTTGCAGAAGCGGCTAGTCCGCACCCTTTTCATTCCTTGCCGATACAGAACCAACCGCAAAATGTTTTCATGCTTGAGCACCTTTTCTCTGACCGCCGGGCGCCACACACCACCCCACTACAAACCGCACGAACGATGGTTGCGCACCAGAACGGTGTAACAACTTGCACAGGATAACGGTCGACAAAAACGACATACATACTCCCTTTTTACATGCCATTAATCGCGGCGTTTTTTCGTCCTTAGACGCCTCCCCCCCCCCCCTGACAACACACGCTTTTGAGCACGTCATTTGAGCTTTACATGTGCTTTTACTCCACCCAGGGAAATAAGGGCGTCTCAACAGGACCGTCCACACGCACGACCTGACCAAAATTGGAGCAAATCCTAGCCTCCGCTTCCAGCTCCCCCTCTGCCACGACGATGTGTGCGTGTCGCTCTCCCTCACTCCCCCGCTCCCTCTCTCCACAGAGGCATGCGCCCGCCGCGCAACATGCCGCCTCGCACCCCAAACCGACTTTTTTCCACATTTACAGGGTCCCCTCTGCCTACCCCTTCCTGAACCTCACTTCCACAAAAAAAATGAAACAGAAGCAACGACACCCATGCACGTACGTACACCCGTTAATTCTGATCCCACGACGAACGAGTAGGAACTCGGACTCTTCAAGCGGGCACCACCTCGTCGGCATGTTGCTGGTGCTGTTGTACCGCATCTTACAGGGTCCTACATTGCCATGACGTCACGTCCGATGCGATATTTATTCCCGCACGCCCCTCGTGCACGTCGAAGCGCACCCTTCTCCTGAACCATCAAAACGCTGAGGCCACGCCAACGCCAACACCAACGATGCCAAAAGAAGACTTGAAACAAAATTCCAACATTAACCTGTGACGGGGAAGCGAATGAAACGGCAGCAGCGTCTCTCCCCTTCGCCTTAACGAAAAGTCAAGAGCAGCAGCAGCCATACTACTCTCAGTCATGCGACTTGCTTCTGAGACATCAACAAGGTATTGGCACAGCCTTGCCACAATAGCCGTCCATTCGGCTACAAAAAAAAAGGGACTCAACTTTGAATAATGATACGACGTGTACGATGACATCTTCATGTATATACAGCTTCCGAGAAACATCGCCATTTTTTCTATCTCTCTCCTGGACACACTCCCCTTGGGGATCATCTTGAATAGTGATACGACGTGTACAATATAGACACCTTCACTGATTTACAGCTTCCGAGAATATGTTTCAGTAGCTTTTTCCTCTCTCTTTCCTGGACAGAATCCCCTTGGGGATCACCTTCTCTTTCAGAGGCATAATGTTGTTAGACTCAAGAAAGAGCGCTCTCGGTTTTTTCTCGGACAACAAACCCTCAGCAGTCTCTCTCTCTCTCTCTCTCTCTCTCTGCTCTGCTCTGCTTTGCTCTGCTCTGCTCTCCCCCAACCCTCCAATTCGTTGCCACGAGTTCCTCTACCCCACCCACTCCCTCTTCTGGCTACTGGAAGAAGCTCTTGTTGGCGGCGCCCCCGTTAGTGACGGGAGGCGAAGACAAAAAAGAGGAACGACGAGAAGACACCGGCTGGCGCGTGAGGACAAAGATGGAGCCCTTGTTCCCTCTCGCGATGCGGATGCCCTGGTTCAGGTAGGTGGTCTCCATCCATCCCGTCGGGCTGTTTTCGTTTTTTTTGGGGGGGTTGTTGGGGCGAAAAAAAAAACGAAAGGAAGTAGGGAGGGGGGGCGAGATCATGTCGTGCGTGTGTCTTTTGGGGAGGAGAGAAAGATCAAGTATTACTGACCACGTGAAGAGGGGACGTGTGAAAGGAATGAGTGAGCCAGGAAACAGTCTTTATCCAAACCGAAAATCCATACTTGAATACCGATATAGGTGGCAGTGCACCGTCACTGGCTGCCTGTCGGTGCAACAACAAGCTTGGCGCGCAACGAAAACGGCAAAAGAAAAAAAAAAAGCCACGCCCGAGTTCCCATCCACCACAGACCCCAAGCTTTCAAGCCAGCACGAAAAACAGCGAAACTCGGGCAGACAGGTGAAAAGTGAAAAAATGAAAGAAAAAAACACCACCACATGAGCGTTCAGATGGAGTAGACCGTTTGCGACGCTATTCGAAGACATCTCACCACCCAACGCCTCGCGCTGTAAAGCGTTTGTAGCATTTCTGGCACCGACAGAGCCCGCGTCACGGCAAAAGTTACGGTTCGGACTGGAAGTCACTTCCACAGTCGACACTGACCTGAAGCGCTGCAGGTGCGGAAACGTGACCTTCATGCCCCCGATGCTCACGATCGCCTTGCGGAAGCCGACTATGAGGCGATTGGCCTCGTCCTTGAGGGGCTCGACGACCGCGTCGAGCTGAACAGTCGTGGTGAGACCGCTCCAGCCCTTGTACACGGCACGGTTCGTCAAGGTCCTGGGCGGAAAAAGGCGGGGGGGGAAGGAGGGTGTACTCGTGTTAAATAGGCATGCATGCCCTGGCGGTTATAGATCATTGACAATGAAGGGGGGCGCGACTGCGCAAACCCTGAAGTGCGCCAAGGAAACACAAAAGCTGGCGTGCTGCGAGGTGTGCATGCTATTAGTGTGTCAGTGATGACCGTAGCAAGCCTCACCGTCGATTGCTCTGTCGAGTCCTACTACAAGCTTCAGGAAGGCCCAGGAGACATCGCAAATATTCTTGCGCCGACCTCAAGCTAACCCTCTAACTCCATGGCAGCACCCGAATCTCGCCGGGGGTACTGCAAAAAATGCCGACACGATGTGCCGAGTCAAAAAAGGGTTCCCACCCACCCACACTCAAGCGAGGAACCTTACCGAGCCTTGGTGTCGATGATCTGGACGCTCTCCGACGTGTCTGCCCACAGGGGACGGCCGGTCTCCTTCCAGTCGAACAGGAGGGCCTCGCCACCGGCTTCTTTCAGCACCGCGAGCTGGAAAAAAATTGACAAGAGTTTGGTATTACGTGCGATGTGATGCGATGCGCGGACCGGATCGGACCGGATCGGATCGGGGGGAGGAGGACGTACGTAAGGAGGTAGGAACCCCACAGTTTTAAGCATGCGCGCGAAGCTACGTGGCGTGCCGAGCGCAGGAAGGAAGGGATGTCTCGAAATAGGTAGCTCAAGCTTTGATTCCTTCTGTGGAGGCTGTGAGAGAGGAGGGTGTCGTTGCTTGCTTCCTCAGAGCACCAAAATCGGCCACCCTTTCAAGTTATTGACATAAGACAGGCAGACTGACTGCTACGGCAACCATCTGCGTGCTCACCCGCTCCTTCTTCTCGGGGTCTGTCGAGGAGGCCAAGTCCCACCCCTCCTGCACCCCCTCCTCCCCCCCGTCGTTCGACACGAACTCCAGGTGCCACTCTCCCTCCACGCTCTCTCTCAGGGCGTTCTCGTCCGCCGCCGCCGTCGCCGCCTCAGCGGCCGCCGCCGCGTCCACCGCAAGCTTTTGTTCACCACCGCCGACGTTGGGCGGAGGAGGCTGCGTCGTCGCCTGCACGTCTTCTAGGCGCCGGATCAGATCCAGGATAGCGGAGCGGTCGCTGCGCGTGGAGGCAAGGCCGCGCTCGCTGCGGGAGATGCGGTTGAGGAGCTCCATCTGGAGGGAGGTCTCGAGCTGGGCGTTGGCGCGCTCGGCGGCGGTGGCCTGGAAGTTGGTGATGGCCTTGCGGTACTGCAGCATCTGTTTTGTTGATCGTTGGTTCGGCGCATTCGGTTGGGTTGTGTAAAGCGGTTGTGGAAACACGAAGCAGCAGCGGCAACGAAACACGAACACGCAAACGTCCGTTGTGCGCAACGGGTGGAAGTAGACTCGCTCATCATGTGTTCTTGGGGACAAGCTTTTCCAAAAAAGGGGTATCTCCCGTTTACCTGAAACAAAATCAAAGTAACAACGCGATTGGCTTTAGCCGTTTTGTAGCCATTGTTGAATGCAGCTGATGCCGTGGCTGTACATATTATACAATATACCTGCTGGTCGTAGCGGGCGTTCATGAAACCGCGCTGGTACTCTGGGTAAATGTTCTCAATGATCTCCTTGTCCTCTTTCAGCGTCAGGTCCATCATCTGCCCGAACAACAAGTCGCCCGCCTGCAGTGACAGCACAAGAGTCAGCCAGGGCAAGATAGCAAAGCGCGTCTCTTCAAGCGATCGTCGTGTGCGGCAAAAAGCGAGTGCAATGTACATCGGACCAAATTGGATCAAACCAAGATTGGGTTTGAACCAGGGCAACGGAGGATTCTCGTTCATCATACGGTGCCCCTCCACCGCACGCACCTTGTTGATAGGCCCCTCGTCAAGCGGGTGTGTGATGGCGAAGTTCCGGTAGAGCTTCCAGTGAAGCGTCGTCTCCCCGTCGGCCCTCGGCACCGCCGTAGCCTCGATGGTCTTGAGGCTGTTGCTGCCGAAGTACACGCGGATGACCGCACGATACGGCAAGTGGAACTCGTTCTTCACCACCACCTGCGCTCCCGTTTGTATCGCGGCCGGTGCCAAAAAGAAAAAAAGGGGGGTAAATGAAGTTACAAGAGCGGAGAGACGCTGTCACAACATTCGCGCGGAGGGATAGGCAAGATGAAGCGGTCAATCTGTGACACAAAAAAATGATGTTCCGAGGCTGACGTCTTGACGACTCCCTCTCTCGAACGAGACTATTCGGAACAAGTACTTACGAACCCCCTCCCCGGTGTTTGCCATCGGGGTTGGGTTTTCGTCGCTTGGCAACGACGTTGTAAAACAAGCCGCC